TGTAGATATGTTAACACATTACACCTACCACCAAAGTCCTAATAGTTTCCCCCATAATCCCCTGGGTGCCTTCCCCTTCTTACACCCCATTCCCTACCATCTTCTGTGGTAGCTTCATATCTGTACTCAGGTTTAGGGCTTGTTTTGATTTGTTTTTGCCTACCCCTTCGACCACACCCCAACCCCCTCGCTGTACAGATATCAATGAAATTTCCAGTGCTTTACTTCACTTGGCATAATCCTGTCCTGTTACACCTATGTTGTTACAAATGGTGATATTTTTTCTGTCCTTTGAGTAGAACTGGGGTGTAAGCCCAGAGATGTGTGAGTGGGTGGGGAGTGGTGATAGGATTCACCATAGACAGAGTGGGGAACAAAACAGGCAGATCTACTGAAATACACTGCTCAGGGTAGCAGCGGGCGAGGCAGGAGAGGTCTGCTGTGCCATGTGGGTCAGCTCCCTGGCCGGGGATAGATTCAGGCCCCTGTGGTGATCGCTGAGACTAACTCCTAGGCCAGTAGGGAGGCCCCTGCCCATTCTATAATTGGATTGTTTTCTTGTTAATATGTATGACTTCTTTGTAAGCCAAGGTATCAAAACTCTGTTGGATTTATGGTATAATTTTTTTTTCCTCCAAGAATGATGTAAAAAAAAAAATAAAAATTTTCTCCAATTCCAAAGGGCATTTTTTTAGTTTTAGGGTTTTTCATTACACAGGTTTTATTTTAGTTTATGTAGTACCAATTATTTATATTGTTTTCCTTACTGTGGAAATCTATATAGACATCTCTGGATACTATGTTGTGGTGTTATACCTATTGTTTTCTTGCATAAATTTTATGGTTTCTGGTCTTACATCCAAGTCTTACTAATGATGAATCTTAACTCCTCCCTTCATGTCTTATGTAAAAAATTGTACTCTGTATTGCACACACAATGGGGCGTAGAGTATATTTGCATGTCTATTCAGAGTATGCACAACTTTCATTCTGTGATTAGGGTGAAGAACTTACCCTTCAGATCACCTACAGCCTGAGATTCAGCTTGGTTAGCTTTAATTGTTTACCTCCAGTTAACCCAATCCCTAACCACCCATTCTCCACCTGCCAACAGACTAATCTTTTTAGTGCTTGAACTCATTACTAGGTCTGCTTTAGTTCTCTTCAAATTTGGTCTCAAATTTGAAGAGAACTAAGCTCTGGCAGCTTAGAGTAATGGACACAGCTGTATAAATTCTTCATTTATTAAGCTCCACTCCACCACCATTTAGTTGGCAAAATTCTGAGGAAAATGGGGAAAGAATTGTCTGGTCAAACACTCAACTCCCCACCAGACCCAGTCCTCAATGTTGTCAAAAGTTTGGCCTGTGGAACTTTCTCCTAACCCACCAGCACCCAGACATTTACCCTAGTCACAGAAATGCTGACTTAGAAAAGTCATCTTTCTCTTAAGGATTTATGTCATCTAGACTTACATATATGTAGTTCCTTGTGGTAGTTTAATTAAAGCCTATCTTTTGGGGCAGTTTTTCTAATGTTTTCCCTAGATGTGAGTTTTTGTGTATTTTGAAACTAACCAGAGGTAGAAGTCAATTTCACCATAGTTTTATGACCTTCTACCTTCCTTCCCAGGTCCTATTAAATTATAAGGGAATAAAGTGGACAGTAAAGGTACAGGGAATATGATCCAGCATTAAAGATTGCATTACACACCCAGACAACATGGACAGAGTCATAACTGAGGAAGTAGAGATGAGCAAACTGGAACCTTGCAGCCTCACAGAAGATGCTTCTGTGTGGCTCATCAGTCTGGCAAAATCCCAGGAAGGCTCTAGCATCAGAGAGTGCTGGAAAATTTGAAGAGTTTAAGTGGAGCTACTACTACTGCAACTAATAACAAAGTCTTTATATTGACCATTTGTCCCTCATTCATTTGCTCACATACCTATGGCCAGGCGTTGACTCCTTGCAAAAAAAAAAATACAAGTTTTCTATTGAGCACTTAGGTTAAACCCACAAACTTTCTATTTCCTGTCATGTTAGGTTGACAATATAAAATTTGGCTCAAAAGTTGAATCAGAGACCCAACTGACAGCGTAACTGTCATTTTGGGTATATTACTTTTTAGGAATGACGAAACCGAGTAATTTAAGTCACAAAAGGTGTCTTAAGATTTAATGAAATGTATACAGAACTGTCTTTAGCTCTGTTAGGATATAATAAACACTCAATAGCTGGCAGCCATTGTCATTTTTATTACAGGTGAAAGTTTTATGTAGTCATAGATTAGTGTGGTGAAAGAAGTCTCTTAAGGATGAGAAATAGGAATATGGCTATCAGTGCATGCGGATATGGATTATAAATACCCCTCACCCCATCTTCCTTACCAATAACCAGTTGTATAAAGTAAGTCATTATAAGGGATCTAGTAACATGCTTGAACTAAACATCAACACAAGTCTTCAATGTATTGAATGTTTTAATATAAAATTTTTTTGGCTTACATGGAACACTGCTGGTTTAGGAAGATAAACTCATTTATTCCTGACCCACTGTTAAAAAGTCTTTTGAGGCCCTCCCTGGTGGCGCAGTGGGTTAAAGCACAGCACAAAAAAGCTTAAACCACTTCCACATGAGTTCGATCCCCGCCTGCCCTGGAGGTGACCACATGGCGTGGCAGACCTCTCCTGACCCGGCCGCTGCTCCCCTCAGCAGTGTACTCTGCTGATCTGCCTCTTCTGCACCCAACTCTGTCTCTGGTGAATCCTCTCACCCTCCGCATCTGTGGCCTGTACCCCAGTTCTGTACGAATAAATAAAAATTAAAAAAAATTAAAATAAAAAAACCTTTTTGATTTATGATCAATATATTCCATGTAACATCAAACAAATTTTTTTAAAGATTTATTTATTCATAAAGAACTGGGGTACAGGCCAGTTTAAGGAAGGGGTTTAAGCTTCTCAGTGCTGTGCTTTAACCTGCTGTGCCACAAGGGCGGGCCGTAACATCAAAATTTTACTAAAATCCAATTACTCAAATTTAAGTTCATAATAGAAGTAGTTATTTTCTAAAACAAATCAACAATTGTTCAAAACTATTACAAATATTACTATTGTTTCCATACTTTGATTACTTACTACAACTAGTGAATAGAGAAATATCCCAAAATTGAGCTTATTCTGACTTTATAGTGTCATCTCAATATGCCTAGTGAAATTACTTCTTTCATCACTTTTTCAGTTTGAGATAAACTTAGGATCTGTCTATATACTTTTAGTGGAAAAATGATTGAGTTTGGTTTTTACTTCAACACAATTAAGACCCAATTACAAAAAGCTACTTTTTGATGACATCAACTATGTTTTCACTTAAATGTGCTTGGAAGTTTTTCTACTCACTGATCCTGATATTATTATTTAACTATAAATATTAGATTTGTTCTACTTTGACCAATTCTGTATGTCTAGGAATTAACTTAATGAAGATCTTAAAATACACACTTATGTAAAATTAAGCTATAGTAATTTGTTACTCCAGTTTATTCTTACTCATAAATCATTTCACTCAATAAGAAGGTGTTTAGAAAATATTTTTAAGGGCAAGTGACTCTTGTGGGTAACTACGTGTCAGAAATAGCAAGACATAAGCCTCTGCCTGAAAACAATTAAGTCAAGATCTGTCAGTAGTTAAGTACTGAAGTTTACTAGTTTCAAAAATGAGACATTCTTATTATCAAATACGTATTATCACATTCTTAAAATCAAACCATTTCCTTTAGGTGTATATATATATATATAAAATATGTATACATATGTTGTGACACATGTAGATGTCATAACCCCTGTGGAAAGGTAATGCAGACCATTACTTCAAGAGACTAAGCTCTAAGAGTGAGAAGAAAAAAAAAAAAATTAAAAGGTATATTCAAAACAGCAAATGTATTTAATAAGCCAAAATTTACAAGCAAGATATATACAAGTAAGAATTGATTTTATTAAAAAACCCCAAAAATCCAGTACTGCATTAACTGTGAGTGCCTGTTGACTAACAACCTTTTTAAAGCATACTGTATGAAAACACTAGCCATAAAAGTGGTCTTCTGAAAAAATGGTCTCTTCTGTGGTTTTTTATTAAGAGCAAGAGAGGAAGTTATGCAAAGCTTAATCTAGGCATCCCAGTAAAGAAAAGTTTAATCAGAGCAAATAAAAATAGGATAAGTGAAACGCTATGGGAGGATGTCGACTTGCGTACATTTAAACAGTTTTAAGGGGGTAGTGTTTTGGTGGTTTTAACAAAGTGTCACCTAGGGAAACAAATCAACATTATGTTGTCCATTTCTTCTTAGTGGAATGGTAAAGTTCTGCCCTAAAGTAATTCTTATTTCCAAGCAACTCATCCAAAATACATGTAATAAATTGAAAAGCATAAGAAAAGGAGTTTCATTGTTAGATATTTCCCCAAAATAACCAATCCATCCTGATTATAATATTCCTGCTCCATACTAGTCTAACATTTTGAAGCTAGCAGCTTTAAGATGCTATCTTGAAAGAGTCATCTGGAGTTGTGTTTACTCGGGTAGGAATATTAACAAAATGAATATTCTGTAACTTGGGTTATTAAATTGGCTCATGTCATATTTTTAGTCTAGACCTTTTCTGGCTGTACTTCCTCAGGAAAAAGTATGTACGTGTGTGCACACATGTAAACTGCTACCTTTTTAATGTGCTATCTAGTTAGTAAGTTTATAAAGAATGCACAAATACCTTCAGACTTGGCTGTCTCAGTAAAAAAGACATGCTTTAGGTTAAAGCTAATTAGCTCAGAACTTAATGATTTTATTTAACAGTAACTTCGTTTTTTTGGTAGTTGTATTTTAAATTAACACTTCTAAGTAAAATTTCTGAGTAGAACAGTAATGAAATATTACAGGATTTCATATGAATGATAAAATTATAACCAAACATTGGAAATCTGCAAATCAATCATCTACGAACCATAAATATTTTTCTGTATCTTTTAATACAATAAAATATTCAATTGTTATTTGAACCTTAACATGGAAAGTCAACATCTTACTCAAAGCATTAGGAAAATCATTTTCAAAACACAAATCTGATGCTGCATAGATAGTGGTATATAAGTTCCCTGATCTAAGTGACTTCTTCCAAACTGAAACTTTAATTTTCAAGTCACCAGGTAGAAAGTGGCAGAGGCATTATTTTCTCACTAAGGCTGGGTTAAAATGGTTTCAATGGTGAGAAGTCACACCAGTTAAAGAACAAAGCTCAGATTATCCCCCAACTTAATTCTGTTCCCCTCTTATTTCCCAGAAATCAAGATTGTTATTTCTCAGAAATCAAAGTTTAGAACTTAAGAATTACTGAAGGGAAGAGGAGGTACATGACCTCTTGGGAGATACATTGATCAGTGCCTATTTTATTCGGACAAAACACTGAATAAAGTTTAAAAATTACAACCATACCATTATGCTTAAATTGCCAATGAATACCTTCTTACATAAGGCATTATGAACTTAAAAAATGTATTACATTACCTGTATTAAAAAAAACCTGTTTGCAACTCTATGACCTTCTGTGGGAAAAAGTCATTACTGAGGATTTGAAAAGTAATTTTTATGGCACAGCATTAATCTACAGGGGTCAAAATCATTTTTGAATACTGAAAAACAGCCTATAAACAAAATATTGCTAATTTTCTTCAACAGGATTTCTTGAAAAGGTAATTTATTCAGAAGGAATTTATTGGTGAAAACACTGTTCACTAAAAAACATTAAGTTACCCTGAGAAAGATTTAAAATTGCCAGTGCTTTGAAAGGCCCCTAACAATGTCTGGTAGAGTAACTTGGAGGCTCTGGTCTTCTACAGTTACTTATAAAAGAATACTTTGATCTAAACAGTAGTTGGGGGTTCTCTGGTACACTGGTAACAGGTCATAACCAACACATCTGAATGGAATGGACTATGAGCAGATTTTGCATTCACTTCAGGCAGACTTCTTTCTTTTCTTCTAAGCAGGTGTCTAATTCTAGAGCTGGTCTTGAACTCAAACTATTCACAAAAAATCTTCTGTAAGCAAATGGGTGGTTGTCTTCTATTAAAACATTGGTCTATATTCTCTAGTATATGCCTAGAAAATAAGGCATTATTTCTTCATTGGCCACTGCAGAACATCAAGTATTTCCTTTTTAACCAGAGGCAGATGCAAACATTCCTCAAAGTGCATTGTTATTTTTAATCTCTTATTTACAGAGTCAAATTTGACTGCCTACCTATTTTATTAAGTATAAACTAATGCTTACTCCCAACACCTTACATATACCATAATTACTTGAGAACAATAAAGAACAATAAAGTGAGCAGCCACAGAAGTAGCAAGGTATTTTCCACAAATAAAAATATAATATACAAAAATGGCAAGTTAGTGATAACTGGTAGTATAAACTCAGTATTTTACTTTGGGTTCCAAGTTATGATTTGACAAGTTTGAAACCTTGTCCTGTGTCCAGCACAGTAGGAAGAAACCAACTCATTTTTAATCTTTTCAAGCACCTAAAACAAGTTTTGCAGATCCAAAAAAGGTTCAGACCACACAACCAATTTGCCAAATGCACTACTGGATACGTAATACGAGGAAAATGTAACATCCAATGCTTGGCCACGTCACTTCCTGTTGGCAAGTGTAAAGTGTAGTCACTCCACCGTTTTGACACACCATATACTGCTTTCACTGTACGCCCCTTTTCAGTCCAACAGATGTTACTGTTGGAGTTGCAGTTGTAGTCTACCCAGTCTTTTGTGAAGTCACCAAGCTGTGGTGGGTCAGCTTCTTCAATGTCTACTGTCTTTGTCATCTCTGCTCCTTGAACTGCAATATACTGGTCATTGATTTTTCTCACTTCCTTCACCCAGGGGGTTGAATTCTCACTGTCTAGCACAATGATAAGTCGGGAACAGAAGGAACCATTCTTTTCTCTCCACCATTCTAGAAGGGTGTCAAGGCGTAGAATGTCTCCACCTATGAGCAATAGAAAATTGAGTCGTGTTAATTTCTGATGTCTCTCCTTAAGAACACTCATTTTCCTATGTCTATTTTGTTTAAGTTTCTAGAATTCAATAAGAAAAAAGCTACAGCCTTCTATTCAAAGCATTTTTTCAGAATTTTCAAAAGACCTTTTTCAAATTTAAGAAATCATCCTTCTGACATAAAGATGTTTTTAAAGTTTAATTATAAAGTTAACTTGCTGCTCCTTTATAAATTTTAAGGATCGTGGGTCCCAAATCTAGCATACCACTTATTTTTGAATGATAAATTCCCCCCACACCCCCGACCCCATCCATGGCTGAAAAAATTCAAAAGAATATTCTGACGTGACAAGTATGGAAATTTTTAATTTCCATCAATGACATTCACTGACATTCTGCCCATGGCTACTTGTGCACTATAATGCAGAGCTCAGTACTTGCAACTGGGACCTTATGTCCCGCAGGCAAAACATATCTGGCCCTTTACAGAAAAAGTTGACAGCTGCGGTTTACACACTGAAAATTTAATATTACTTTGTTTTCACATAGGTTTCTACTCTACGTATAATCAAGAAGTTTGAGTTTACAATGGACTAGTTTTTAAGCATATAGAAAGGTTTGAAGTAAGATTCTGACCTAAAAATCTGTTAACAGCCAGTAAGTTTTACATTTGGTTCATTAGTTGGGTTTTTAATATTTGTATTTAAATTTTGAAACATATGCATTAGAAATTAATTCTTAGCACTCTTACATTTCTGAGGTAATTACCATCCTCATTCTAGTCCTGACTGAATAAAGGTACATTGATAGTCTTTCCAACTCTAGAAATTTATCCTATGGAAAGAACAGAAATGGACATAAATATTACATATAAAGATACCCCTGCTACCTAATTAATGTAAAGCTGTTAAAAATGTACATAATCAAGGGGGGATGGAAATATATTAGGATGTAACATTATGAAGCAATTTTATTAAAACAATCTTGAAGTAACACTGATATGCATCACTTAGCAGTATAGGTTCACTTAATGTCTACAATAATCCTCTAGCATCATATTGACAAATGTTTATTTTAGGAGAACAGGCATGGCATAGAAGTTTCTCTAGAAAAATAGAGGCTTTGTTGAATGTTTAGTCTTCAGAATATGCTTTAGTCTATTTCCCAAAATTTTTATATTGAACATGTTTACTTTTATAATTAGAAAAAGTTTACTAGCACAAGATCCAGTTGTCTCAGTTCAAAACATACTGAACATTTTCTTTGCTTAAGAATAAAAATGACTATAGTAAAGAATTTAGAATTTGGATTCCTGACCTAAAGTCAGGTCATTACTAATATTCCTTTACTTATCAGTATGTTTTAAGCAAGACGATGAAAAATTGGTTTCAAGAATGTTTGTACCACCACTGAGCTATATGCATGAATGTATTTTAAGACATGGTCTCCACATATTACTAGTGTGTTGCTTCAAAGAACATATGAATAGGTTCTGTCTTGCATTTGGCTTTTGGCCCAGCTGCACAAAGTCCTTACACTTATCTCAGATCATAACAGCCATCTGATGCAGTTCAAGTAATTGAACTGCTTTTTAAAGACTTTGTTTATCTGTGATAAACTGCTTTATATTTATCATAATTTTTTTCATTATGAAACTAAATGTAAGAAGAACTAAATTAAGTAAAATCCAGTTTCCTAATTTAGAGCTTTTAAGAAAAGTAGCTATTAATAAATTCTTACAGTTTTACAGTTCTTGACTACTTGATTTGGAATGGGTTACAGCATTTTCTTCACTGTAGGGTGGTTAGTACTATTCTGAGGTAGAATCAGTCTTCCTGGACTGTGTCTCAGGCAGAAAAGGGCAGCAACTCACTGAAGAGAGCTCAGTCTGAGCCTGGTTCAACCTGCTCACCTGCAAGCTGGTCAGGTGTGTCAGGTCATAAGTGTACAGCTGCTGCACTATGGGGCAAAACCTATTCCTATGAGGTAAAAGATGGCCATGTCAAGCTGTGCTTTCACCATAACTTTGTTGTGAAAACAGAAAAAAGTGTCACCTAGAAAATTACATATACAGGAAACAATTCTTGGGCATCTATTACTTTTGCTAGGAAAAGAGAAAATAGCCATAAGCTTCAGTAAACTGGACATTCAGAATTTAGTGTTTCAAAAAATGGCTTTGAAACAATCCTCAAAGATTTAAGAAATTTAATCACCAGCTTTTAGGTGTCACATTCCATTTCTGTAAATCTTAACAATAGTGAAAATATCATAAGTGAATTTACCTGCAAGGGCCCATTCTCCTGTCCCATGGGTGTGCCCACTGTAATATAAAACATATGTGTCATGTCTTGGTCCATCCACAGTTCGAAGTTCCAGGAAAGCTTTCAGTTTGGAATGTAGAGTATCAAGAGACAGTCCACTTGTGGAATAGTCACATCCATAGGTCTCAATCATATGATAAGCAAAAAATCTTTGGATGGCATTGAGCATGCCAGTCGACCTTAAATTTAAGTCCTGTACATGTTCTGGTGGAAGAAGTGTTGGCTGACCATCAGGACTGAAGGAGAAAAAAAATATATTATTTTGGTATTTAAAAAGTATTCGTTTATATCACTTTTTGGGCATAGAACTGGGGTGCAGGTCAGATGTAAGGGGTGAAAGGATTCAGAGACAAAGCAGGGAGCAGAACATTTGCATCTACGGAAATACACTGCTGAGGGGAGCAGTGGGTGACATAGGAGAGGTCTGTGCACCATATGTGGGTCAGCTCCCCCACCCAGGATCCAACTCAGGCCATAGTGGTGATAGTGCCAAGACTTAACACTAGGCCACCAGGGAGGTTCTTTTGTCACATTCTTATGATGATTTTTTTTTAAAGATATATTTATTCATACAGAACTGGGGTACAGGCCAGAGAGAGTGAGAGGATTCACCAGAGACAGAGTAGGGAGCAGAACAGGCAGATCGATGAAGTACACTGCTGAGGGGAGCAGCGGGCGGGTCAGGAGAGGTCTGCCACGCCATGTGGTCACCTCCGGGGCAGGCAGGATCGAACTCACGTGGAAGTGGTTTAAGCTTCTCTGTGCTGTGCTTTAACCCGCTGCGCCACCAGGGAGGGCCATGATAAGATTTTTTAAAAGCACAATTTTATCTCAAATGCTTAAAGAACATCTTACTGGGACTACTTTTCTTGAAGGAAATCTTAATAAAACAATACTTAGGGTCTCCCTGGTGGCACAAGGGGTTTGAGTGAAGCACTGTGAAACTGCAGCCACTCAGCATTAAGTTCAATCCCTGGCCAGGGAGGTGATTAACATGGTGCAGCAGAACTCTCGTCCTTCCTGCTGCTCCCCTTAGCAGTGTATTTCAGTTGATTTGCCTGTTCTGCTCCCCACTGTCTCCAGTGAATCCTCTTACTCCCATACCTCTTGCCTGTACCCCAATTCTTGTATGCATAAATCTTTAAAAAATATGAAACATCACAACTGTTGAAGCCTTAGTAGCCTAAGGTATATAAATGAAAGCATTTACATATGTTATTTTAAAACAATCATTAAAGTATAGGTATTTTGGTAATAAGCTAAATTTACTAATGGAAGACTTTTAATTTGGTCATGGAACAAAATGTAAAATGGTACTCTAGAAAGATGATCAAAATACCATCAATATTAGAGGTCGACAGAAATTTGCAAACTTTTCTTACAATATTACTCCATTAACACTTTAGAATAAAACATTCTGTTCCATATTAATTTTAATCAATTACCAAAAAATAACAAGCTATAAATGTACCTGAAAACTACTATATACACTTTTCTCCCCACACAGTTATCTTTCTTTTTGGGACCCTAAGTTTTTTTTTTAACTTGGAGGAAAATATTTATTACTGTCTATTTTGTGTTATGTAAAATATTTGAAATCTTTGACTTCACGTCCTGCCAGCCTCCACCAAGGGAAAGTATTGAAACATGGTCATCAGAATTCATGTATAGCAAAGAACCACTTTTTCTCTATCTCTAAGGTTTTCAGCTGTAACAGAAATTTATCAATTTGCTGGGATTAAAAAAAACTTCAATGCCAATTTGAATTCTTGGTACTTGTATGACTAGAAAATGTTAGGAGTTTTTACAATCACATTTTCATTATTACAGTCCTCTGAGATGGATAAAATACTGTGTCACTTGCATTTTGTTGTCTTGATAAAGACATTGAGGTACAGAGAAATTATAATTTGTCTAAGAAAGCAAAGAACTAGAACTTAGGGCTCTTAAGGTCCATTGTTTTTTATGATACTGTTTCCTGGAACTTCTTTAAAACACAATATCCCTTTCTGAAAAAGAGGTAGAACCTTTTCTTAGAAAACTTACCCATATTTGCTGATGTGTAGCTTATATAAGTTGTAGTCATTTATAAAGTTCAAACTGAACCCTGAAGACATGTTTTTAGGAAAAATGACAAAACACCCAGAATATTAAAGTTTAAAATGTGTTTTGAAAAGAGCTGTTGTATATTAGGAAAACATTAACTAGTGATTACTAATTCAATTACCTGCAGAAGTTAGTGGGAATCACAATAGCATATCCAACAGATGTTCCTCCTAAACAATTACCCAATTCATGGAAGAGTCCATGAGCCATGGATTCCAATGGCAAAACAATTAGAAACATACTCAAGAATACTCCATTTGCTGGCTGAAAAATTAAAAACAGCATGTTTACATATTGTGTATGATCGTGCTATGTACTTATGTGTATTTACATACATGTATACACACACACAATTTTTGTCCCTACTCTGAAAAGAACAAATGATGATCAAAAACAGTTCAAGCAGGCAAGTATAGAGATGAGCAGTGAACTCTAAATTTATGTCTGTCTCTTACAAGCTGCTCCAAAAACTACAGCATGATATATTTGTGTATTTGACAAATATCTCATCCAAACCAAAAAATAACCACATTTGCTATGACAGTTGCTATGACAGAAAAAGTCAGAAATGAAATTCTTTCCTTTAAAACTCGCATGACTTAAATAACTTTTCAAATTGCACTTTTTTTGAGAAAAGGTACTTTAGAATGGGGCCCTTTTGTTTTTCCTGTTAAGTCTAGAAACCACGAGAAAACCTTAAAGTTGCTAAAACTATTAAACTGAATTCCATTTTAATGTTTAAACTTTGAACTTTAAAAATATTGTAGCTAATGAATTAAAAAATGTAAAACAGACACACATATAAAGGAGATTTAAACACTAAAAGTGAACAGAAAGTGGGAAGGAAGAAATATGACAAGATTAGGTAGTAATTAGTAGAAACAAATTAAAGGAATCACAGCCTTAAGTACATCTTTGGAATTCTTATACTATTTTATGTTCTGTATATTGTTACTATACCATCCTGTGCCTACATATATGAGCACACATTTTTGTCACAATAGGTGTCATTAAGTCATAAGTATAATAAAAATAGGATATTGACTCATAGTTAAATGGATCTAATGCCTTATTTTTGTACATGCTGTTTTCAATTATGTACATTTATATGTTCAATTTAGAAACATTAGAAAGTTAAAAATAACTAAACAAGTAATTTTATCCATACAGAGCTACTAACATTTTGGAAGGTTTGTGGACTTCATGCAAACTAGATTTATCAAAGTGGGATGATCAATTAATGTTGCATAAACTAATATATCATAAATGTTTGTAAACATCAAGGCATTTCTACCATAGGTACAAAATTTTAACTAGTTGTTCCTCTACTGACATTTACATTGCTTTTAATTTTCCATTATGTTAAAACCAGAAAAGAATATCAAGTTCTAATTATGTTAAATACCTCTGATCATTTGGGTTGAAATGCTTTATGTGTTTGCCCTTCACATTTTGCTCTATAATCCACATGTAACTTATTTAGGAAGACCCAATTGTGTAACTACCAACTACTGAAAATATTAAACATTCCACTTTTTAGTGCTATCTTTGTCATAAATCAGGTATTTTGGGGATCTGTTTTTGTGCTATTCCCTGTCCAATTAATTTATTTAGCTGTTCAGTATTTCCATGGGTCTTCATTTTGTGGGACCCTAATAAAACAGATTCATCTTCATTTAAATCTTATCCTTTTTCCCTGCATACAATTTTTCTTTTTCCCTTTTCTGTTGTCTTGCATAATTTCTTAAGTATATATTCAGCTCACTAAAAGTTGCATTAGCTTGGCCTATTAGGCTTACACATTGGGTTGATTGCAGGTATTTTATTTTCTAATTCTAAAACTTCTTTAGAATTTTTTTCAAATCTACTTTGTCACTTTCTATGTTTTCTGACTTCCTACCATTAGGGTCTATCTTCAACTTAGTATCATGATTTTGTTAACTCCAATACCTGAAGACTTTTGGTCTGCTGACCCTGCTATGTCTTACCCTAAATGTCATGTGCATGTGTTACCTGTTATGTATGAACTACATACACTATGTATAAGAAAAAACTAATTTGAAACGTACGTGATTTTTGCTTTGTTTCTACAGGGAGCTGGGCACATTACAAGTATGCATACCTTATTCCAAGCTGGATCATTAACACAGTACAAGGTCAGGATGCAAGTTCATGAGAAGGCTGTAATACACATAACTCCATTCCCTTCCCACACATAACTCCATTCCCTTCCATCATATGGTACGTCATCTTAAAATGGGAGTTAAAGCCAGAGCCATCAAAGATGGTAATTAATTTTAGATAACATAGGAAGTACAGCTCAGCTCTGAAAAACTTTCCGTTATACAAGCAAATGCTTACCAAGACACAGTGTTGTCTATCTCAGAAGGTATAACATGATTTTCCATTTATTCAAGTCATCTTTTATAACAATTTAAAAAGTATTTCTAGATATTTTATATTCCTGCTATTTTTTTAATGGAATAATTTCTATTACATTTTCTTACTGATTTTACATATTTGTTATTTGCTACCTTAATGTTACTAAAAACCTACTTTTACTTTAATTTTGTCTTATGTAGCTTGTGCAAATCCAAGAGAACCTACATTGTTTATGTTGGCTGGATTAATAATTTCTCAGTGAGTGCAATAAACATTTTATGACAGCTTATTACTTTAAAGATACAAGGTAGTTTTTATAATTACTATATTGGTTTTGTAGTTACTTCCTAAGTGTACCAGGTTATATTATTAAACAATTTCACTTACTTTTCAATTTCTTTAACTTAAATTGCTTATGTTGCTCTACAACAGAAGATACTTTGATCAATAAAACCCCTATGATTACTTTCAAATTTTTACAGCCGTTCACTAAAAACATTTACTAAATAAATGATATAAAATCACTGATTTTTTTTTTCTACCTTTAACTTTACTGGTACATTACCTAGTTTTCTAATCAAATAGCAATATAAGAAACTAAATTCACTATTTCTAATATATATATCAAGGATCACAAATACCTTCTCAGGCCATAAAACTGGATTATGTGAAGCTGCTACTGAAGCAATAGGTAATAGTATGGCTTCTAAAGACGTGCAGTGCTATCTGAAGACATTAAAAAAAAACCCTGCCCAAGTAAGACTGGCCGATTCAGTTATTTTACAGGTATGTTTATTTTGCAATATACATTTTTAGAAGCAAGAATAAGTTCAGGCATTTAAACAGCTTTTCTATACCAGTACCAATAGTTATGAGGAAATTGCATGACATTCTGAAAAATTAGTTAGAATGGGGACAGATAATGAGACATGGAATTGTAAATGTTTCCCTTTTGTTTTAATTAAGCCACTTAAGGCTATGAATATGCTACCTAGCAAAAATTATTTCCTACAGAAGGAAAGGTTTGAAATTTGGTCCTGTTTTCTAAATCTATTAGACATAGAGACAGGCTTTTCTTTAAATATTCATGTGCATGGAATATTAACAATTTTACTGACTTCTGCATCAATCGATTACAAAACTTACCATTACTAACATTTTATTGTGAAATTAAAATATAGTCTCTACCATTTAAAAAAGTACTAAAGAGTTTATAATTTAGCAAGCAACTGTGTGATTAACTTCAATTGTGAGTCAATTCATATATAACTCAAGTGAGAAATCAACTTAAAACTCCAGTTACCTTCATAAATACCCTTACTTTGGTTAGACAACAATGATAATACTTAATAATTAAGTTATTTATAGACAACAGGTGATGCGGGGTATTTTGTAGTCTTCTTAATCAATTTACTGAGAAACTTATTCAACTTTTCCTCAGAAACTTGTTTTTTAAAAATAAGTATTTCCACCAGGTTATTTTAAGTACATATGCTTAGCTAAGAAAATATTAAACTCTATTAAATAACAAAAATAAGTGACTAATTTGATCACATGGCAAATATGTCCTGAGTAAGTCAAAATAATGTTTTAGCTACTTGCCACTTTCAGAAAGTTTAATTTTATTGGCAAGCAAAACTTACACTTTATGCTTCAGCCTAAAGTCAACTGTGACCTTAGTCTAGTTCTTGGGCTTCAAACAACTAACTCCCTGTAAATAAGGTAAACTCAAGTTGTCCAAAAACAGTAAATGAATGAACTTTTTTCCTTTGCTTTTTAATTATCATACTGTGTTCACTTTCAAACTTTAAGATGCAGTTCAACTTTGAAAGCAGGTGTAAACTTAACATAATAGAAAAGCACCAAAATGAAAATATTTAACATTTTCATGTCCTAAAATTTCTCATGTAAAAGAATCAGAATCCTTTTATGCAACACACAGAAGCCAATGTTGGAATTTCATTAAAAAAAGTCAGGCTTGGGGAATATTACACACAGAAGTCTAAAGAAAATGAGGCCCAACTAAGAAACAGCATGTCAAATGCATGTTACAAAGCATTATATAAATGGACGTAATATATTCTTCTATGTGAAAAAACCCCCCATTTAAAAAACAGGTAACTTCCAGAACTCAAGGTCTAGAGCTGACTTTGGTTCGATTCTAACCCAGTCACATACCACCTGTGCGTATACAAATTAATCTTTGAGTCTTAATTTCCTGAATTTATACTTACACTTATTTCAGATTTACAATGTGAGATTTATCACAATGTTAATGTTGATTTGTAGTGAAGCATGCTGAAATTTAATTGAGTTCATTATAAGCAAAATACAAATCTAAACAACTAGCTTTTTTTTACTATTCAATAAATGTTGCTATTCAGATCTCTAGAATTGCTAACTCCCTAGTGGATGCATTAAAGTTTCGTCTTTTTAGTAGCCTCAAAAGAGATAATAAGAACAAAAAATTTAAAGCTTTAGTTCTCATAATGGTGACAATGGTATAGGAATCAAATTCAGGCAGTCTATTGAGTCTTTTCCCATAGGCAAAACAAAGATGCTTCATGAAATAGTGTCTATGCTCATTTCCAACTCTAGGAATAATTGGAATTAAGTAAAATCGTTAAGAGTAAAGACTAATTGCCTATATTCACACCAAATCTAGTTTTGGGTAAATTTCTTATCTCAAGCAGTTTCTCATCTGTTTAAGGGGAATAACATGGCACTTATCTCAGAATGTCATGAAGATTAAATTCATATAAATTCCAAAGAATGGTAGAAAGCACACAGGGAAGAGTTAATATATGGCAAGCTGTCTTATTAAAAATGGGCAATTATTTCAACCTCACCTGGTACCTAAAAACCATAAAAGAATAAGTCTA